AGACCAAAAAATCAATTACTGACTGGTTCTCCAATTTATTTGTATTACAGAATCACTGTGATGACTTAGGAAAACATAAACTGCTTGCCAATTCAGAGAATGACTTGCTATGCTTGAAGTGAGCCTCAAAACTTGCATTTCTAATAACTGATACTGATACTACTGGACAAAAAGGACTCTGAGAACTGCAGGCATTAAGGCAGTGGGTCTCAGTCTGTGGCTATAACAGTAGTGTCATGGGGAACTTTTGAAAATGCCAGGGCCTGAAGGCCAGATCCCTCAGATCAAACCTATCAGAAATCTGAGGGCTAGTTTCCAGGCACTGATACTTAAGCTAATGTGCAACCACTACTTTAAAGTGAATGTAAAGCAAATTCACTCTGAACAGGTATTTTAATAAAAAAGTAGGGTAAAGCTTTATTTAATCTTTTTATTGTATTTTTATTGCAGTTAATAATGGTTTGGTTATATGTATGATTGGGACGAGTGAAGGGTAAATGTTTACATTTCTTCAGGTAACACCCCTAGTCATTTTCCATAGTCCACAGGGTCCCCCTTCCTACTCTGCTCCTTTCTCATAACTCTGGTAGTTTCAGTTTTATAGTCAGATTTCTAAGGTTTATTTTGGTTTAGTTATGTTCTCTATATTCCATGTAAGGAAAATCATCCCGTTTTTTGTCTTTCTCTTTCTAACTTACTTTTCAGTTCCATTCATTCTGTTACTAATGGCAAAATTTCCAGTCCTCCCTGGTGCAGGTTAGGACACAGCACTGCAAGCTAGCTGCAACCGCTTCAGTGTGAGCTTGATTCCCGCACCAGTGGAGATCCACGTGGTGTGGCAGACCTCTCCTGACCCGCCCACTGCTCCCCTCAGCAGTGTACTTCATTGATCTGCCTGTTCTGCTCCCCACTCTGTCTCTGGTGAAGCCTCTCATCTGCACCTTTGGCTTGTTCTCCAGTTCTGTATGAATAAAGCAAGCTTTAAAAATAATAATTTAAAATAAATGACAAAACTTCAGTTTTTCTTTTGCTAAGTAGTGTTTCATTGTGAAGATATATTCACTTCTTCCTAATCTATTCATATTTTGTGGGCCACTTAGGTTGTTTCTATAACTTAGTTGTTGTAAATAAAGCTGCAAGAAACATAGGAGTGCATACATCTCTTCAAATTAGATATTTTTATACCTTTGGGGTAGATAAGTGGGAGTGAAACTGTGGATCATAAATTATATTTGTCTTTAAATTTAAATAAGGAACCACCACATTGTTTACATTCCCACTACAACTGCACAAGGGTTTCCTTTTTTGCACAGCCTCATCAACACTTATTGTTTCTGGTCTTTTTGAAATGTGTCTCATTCTCACAGGAGTGAGGTGGTACCTCACGGTGGGCTTGATTTCAATTTCTCTGACAAGTGATGATGAGCTTTTATTTCCAGCTGCTTGTTGGACATCTGTATGTCTTTGTTGGAAAGTGTCTATATAGGTCTATTGTCCACTTTTTAATTTGATTATTTCTTCTTCTTGAGTTGTATGAGTTCTTTGTAGACCTCAGATATTAGCCCCTTGTTGGATGTATGATGCACAAATATATTTTCTCACTCAGTAAGGTATCTATTTTTATGTTAGTTTCTTTAAATGTAGGGATGTTTTTAATTAAATGCAGTCCCATATTTATCTTTGCATTTGTTTCCCTTGCTCTTTGAGTTTGTTCTCCAAAGACATCCTTGAAGTCAATGTCATGAAGTACTTTGCCTATGTGCTTTATGGTTTCAGATATTCCAACTTTTTTAAACATTTTGAGTGAAATCTTTATATGCTAAGAATATGATCTACTTTTATTCTTTTGCCTGTGGCTGTTTAATTTTTCCAACGCCATTTGTTGAAGAGACTTTCTCTTCTCCACTTCATATTTTTTGTCATAAGATCAACTGTCTATGTAAGAGTGTACTTATTTCTGGGTTCTCAATCTATTTCATTGGTCAGTGAATTTCTGTATTTCAAAACTATACTATTGCATTATAGCGTCACTTGAAGTCTGGCAGGGAGTGTGATGCTTTTCTTTTTTGTTTTTAGGTAAAGATTGCATCGACTATTCAAAATCTTTTGTGGTTCCAGATAATTCCAATAATGCTTCCTCTACTTCTTTGAAAACTCACTATAATCACACTGAATCTACATATTGTTTTCAATAAGATAATTATTTTAATAATGTCAATTCTTCCAGTCCATGAGCAAAGAATATCTTTGTATTTCTTTGTGTCATCTATTTATTTTAATAATGCATTAATTTTCATTGTACAAGTTTTCAATCTTCTTTGTTAAATTTATTTCTAGGTATTTAATTCTTGTGATTGTAAATGGGATTGTTTTAATTTCTTGTTTTCTAGGTTACTGTTTTGCATGTAGGAACACAACAGTTTTTTGTGTAATGATTTTGTAGTCTATTACTTGAATGTTCTGATTTTCTTGTTACTAATAGTCTTTTAGTGGGATCTTTATGGTGGCCATGTATATTACAGGGTAAGGGCTTTAGTGTTCACTGATAAAGTTGCCAAGTAATGAATAACGATTAAATACAGTCAGGTGATCTCAACTTATATACCTTGCATTTAATGAAACAATTCATGTATGCTCTTTTCTTTAAATCCCAAGTAAAGTTTAAAGCCAGTCTTTAGGTCACATTTACGATGCAGAAAATGGCTGATCTATGAAGGCACTAAAGTATAAGTTACTACCAAGTATGTGTAGCATGTTTAGGCTAGGTGGCAATAATATTGCATGTTGTTTGACTGTCATTCTTTAGAGTCAGACTTTCTAAACAGATGTGTCCCTTGGCAAATAATATAATTAAGTTGTGGTCTCTCCACATGAGAATTAATGTAACTAATATTGTAGTTATGCTAAAGATCACATGAGCATCCAATCCATTTAACAAGTTAGCTCAGAGCTTGGCCGTAAGAGTTAATGTAATCTAAATTGCTTATAAGCTATGCCATTGACATATTAACCTACTAGAAACACTAAGGAAATGACTGTCCTCTAAGCCTACTTCTACCACTTGAGTAAACTTCATGACTCTTGATCAATAGCCTCAAGGTCTCTTTTCTTACCTGAATTTTATGAATTTGTTTGTATTTGACTTTGATAAGAAAAACTGAAGATCAGAAAACAAATGATGATTTCTTTTATATTTTAGAACAATGTCCACTAATAGAGTTTATTTTATTTGGCTGTTTTCAGAACACTTTCTATATAGTATCATAAATCTGTAATATCTATCATTCTTCACAGGTATTAAAAATATATTAGATCTGGCCCTCCCTGGTGGTGCAGTAGGCTAAAACATCATACTAAGAAGCTAAAGCCACTTCAGCATGAGTTCAATCCCCAACAGCTCCGGAAATGGTCTATATGGCATGGCAGACCTCTCCTGACCGGCCCAAGGCTCCCCACAGCAGTGTATTTCATCAATCTGCCTGTCCTGTTCCCCCCTGTCTCTGGTGAGTCCTCTCACCACCCCCTGAACCTTTGGCCTGTACCCCAGTTCTGTATGCACAAATAAATAAATCTTAAAAGAAAAAATTTAAGTCCTGTAGTATATGTTGGATTTAGATCCCTCTTTACTAAGATTCTTTCTAATAAAGAGAAATGTCTCCATTTAAAAAAAAATAAACTTAAAAACAACTCAAGGCATTATATTTTGTGCTAATATTACACCAAACTAAAGCCCACCCCTTAGAAAGTCTTACTCCAAAAATAACTTTAAGAACCCATTTAAAAGTTAATAGCCTTACTATTTAAAGCTTCTTACACTATATCTATGCCATGTTATTCCATACAATTATTTTTGTTCAACAATAACTTCTTATTGGCCAGAACAAGTTTTCAGATAATTTTCCTATGTTTCTTCTATATAAAACTCAAAGCAAATCAGAACTTATTTAATGATAATACATCAGAGAGCTGAAGTCCCCACCACTAATGTTATCTTGTTATAGTATTCATAATCCAGACACTGACTACAATTTATATACTAACTCCAATCCCCTTCTATCCCCTCAGACTCAGCTTACCAGTATTGCCAACCTTGGTCAATCCCATATTCATTCTAATCATTGGTTCTATTACCATCTACGAGGGTAAAAAGAACACAATGGCTTATTTGAAATAAGCCATGCTGGCCATGCTGGCAAGCCAGCCACTATCAAGTATCAGAAGTAAAGATAATAGGTATTTACTTTTGCCCCTTTCCAAGTATCTTGGGAATCTGAATTTCATATTGTTCATATATAACATTATGGTATCACTTGATGGATGACTTAATTTAAGTGTACCGAATAAATCTGTTCTAATAGTATCTTTTGTACTAAGGTTTTGATAATGAGTAGAGAAAATTATATTTTAGCTTTAGAGTATAGGTCCTTTCTCCTTAAGTTTTCAAATGAATATTTAAAGATATTTCATTACAGGAGGAGGACTAAGAAGTGACTGCTGATAGGTTTACTTCTCAAGAAATAAAAATATTCTAAAATTAGTTTTCTGGAATCCACAAGCCTGTGAATACAATAAAAACAGTGAACTGTTACCTTTAAATAGGTAAGCTGTACATGTAATTTCCTAACAGTTGTTTTAAAAGTATTTCAACCTCATTCTAATGACTATTACACTACATATTATTATACTTTATGAAGTAAGTATGATGTATTAAAATATACTAAAAAACTTAATGTAGTAAAAAGACAAAAGAGATCCTTGCACAGTAAATTAAGCCAGGTATAATCACACCAAAACCAAATATACCATTTAGGACCCAGAGATGACCGAGCACTATGGAACCCTTATTATTTTACAACCACCAAGTAAAAGAACAGTCATATAGACTTAAGGTGAACATGGCCCCTAAATGACTTTTCCAGAAAGACTATTATTCATAAGCAATCTTGAAAAGGAAGACCTTGCTTCTATAAATAAAAACATCCTCAAGCATGACCACTTACTCATCATACTCGATATGATAAATAACGTCTTCATCAGCAGCAACAGAGTCTGAATAAGATGTAGAGGGTACATTGTCCAATTTATTTGTGTTCTCTTTGGAATTATGATTTACATTTCCATTAGTCCTTTTACAAGAACTGCCATTCTTCAGTGGAGTTTTGCCACGTGAATGTCCATCAGAAGCTCTAGTAACACTATGTATACGTGCTTCAAACCAAGCACCAAGGCCGACATCTCTGGCATCCACCAATTCATTCACCTAAAAAATAAGTTTAAAATTTGTTAATGAAATGTTATCCCAGTCACTCCTTCAAAGAACCTTAATATAACTCGAATTATTTAAGGGTTATCATGGTTAACTATATTTGTAGCTGCTCATGTTTAATTTCAACAACACATAAGCCATTCTTTATGGATTATGCTATTTTTAATCTATTATTAATACAAAAATTATTTTCCTCCAATTTTTCTCAATAAATAGGTGTTCTCTTCAATTAATACTCATCTACTCTTTACCTACGTCCCACATTAGACTTCAAAGATCCTTATGTACACAAGTCATATTGCTAACAAAAAAGCCAAGACTTGAAAGCATTATGACTTTAAAGTACTAATTTTTTCCACTAATTTCTTCATAATGTTAAGTAAAGGTAATTTACAGAGTTAAACCTGAAAACAGTAAACTAGTAAACAAAAATCAAAAATGAGGGAAATATGCACATGAAATAAAAGAATCTAGTGACGCCACCTATATGAAATGGAGTAAGTTCAAGCACTAGTTTAAAAATGAGTATTCATAGCAGGAGCATAAAAGATGGAGGGGGGGATAATAATAATAATAACAACTATATACCATAGACATTTTACAGGGGTGGAGTAGGGAATGGGCTCAAAAATGGGGGGGGGTAGGATCCATGGTGATGGCATATGGGTGCACTGAAGATGAGAAGTCCATGGGGATTACAACTGAGATAGAAAGAGGCACAAAATGATGTAAAAATAAACTATTATAATAAAAAAATTAGTGTTAAGAAATATGTAGTTTTTTGTACTTCAAAGAATGATGATAAAACATAAAAGAACAGAGCTACATGGTACAAAAGCTATGTAGTCATGTCTAGCGAATGATTGTGGAGTAAACTGTTCAATCTCACAAATAAGATACAATACTAGAAAACAGATATATAAGAATTTACGACTTACAGTATTTACAATGGTTTCAAAAGTCACCCCCTAAAAAATCAGAGAAATTAAATGACAAGTCAGGACCTTTACAGAGATGAAATGCTCACAAGAACAGTAACTAAGGGATATCCTTTCAACCTTTTATCTAACCCCTAAAAAGAGAAAAATGATAGATATAAAATCATCACCTAATTAAGCAAGCTCTGAGGGTTTAAGGGACAACATAAGGTGCCAATATAATTCTAACAGGATAGGTTAGGATGAAGGACAGAGAGAAAGAGTATAAACTTAACTAACATATGGAAGTCTCCTTAGGCTTGTCTAACTCTTAAACAACTTTAGTTCCTATTTTAAATGATCAAAAACAAAGGGTCTGACAAGTTAACTTTCTCCAAATGAAAGCCAATGAAAGGCGAGCTAGAGTTTTAAGGCAGCTTGACCTTGAAGCTTATAATTGATGGTGCTTACTGACAAGGTCACAATATAAACAGGAACTTCAAAGGTTAAGTGATGAACTTAAAAAATACAACACTGCTGGCCCAGTGGGTTTGAGCACAATACTATGAAGTGATCCACACTCACTGCAGCACAAATTCGATTCTTGGCCAGGGAGATGACCCACATGGCATGGCAGACCTCTCCTGTCCAGCCTGCTGCTCCCCTTGGCAGTGTATTTCAGTCAATCTGCCTATTCTGCTCCCCACTGTCTCTGGTGAATCCTCTCACCACCCTCCACTCCACATCTCTGGCCTGTACCCCAGTTCTGTGTGCATGGATAAATTAATCTTTAAAAAGAAAGAAAGGAAGAAATACTACACTAAAAATACAACTGTTTCAAACCACCAAACTAACAAAAAAGGTAAAGAAATTACAGACCAAACTAAATGTTTACTGTCACTACCAGGAGAGGCACATTTAACCTAAAACACTATATAATGAATTTTGTAGAAATATACTATTGAAAGACTTAAGATTCAAAGTATTCAGTGAGAGAAGAAAAAGACCTAATGACCAACCTAGCTAGACATAAAGATTGAGAGATGGAAAATGGTATAAAGACAGTTCCTTACAGGCATTAGAACTTAAAAAAAAAAAGAAAGAAAGAAAGAAAGAAAAATCAATGTTAGTGTCTAACTTATTGGGGAGAATAACTTAAGACAGTTAATTATCTAACTTACTGTGGCTATTTTCACAGCAAATTGAAATATCAAGGTTTCATACAGCGCTACATAATTACTATCCTGGCAGAGAATGGGGTATATAGTTGATATTAAAACAGTTACAGCAAAAATACAGAAGGTAATATAAACCATATTATGGAACAGTAGTACTATGGAATAGGACTAATGAAAAACTGAATTTGCATAACAAATATAAGAAACTAATAGGCAGAGTCAGTATCTGGATGCCCCAATAGTTGGTATTACAATTGGAGTTAACAGAAAATAAATCAATCTAAAAATACCATTGTTGCTTTAAACACCAGTCACAATAGTACTTATTTGCTCATAAAAGTAGGGGATGTTATTCTTTCAAGTAAAACTAGATTTATAAGTGAAAAACACGAACTTCTAAATCCTCTATTTAGTTAACTAAAGTGAAAAAAATGCTTTTAAATTCAAAATTAAAGTTTCTGCACATTATATAAAACATATTAAAAGCCAAGTTTGAGTGGATCAAGTAGCAAACAAAAGGTAAACGCACTTTCATAAAGTCTGAGTTTTGAAGGTGCTTCAGAAGAAAATACTTAAAACTTGCCATGGTAACTAGTTTAGTAATCCAGTTAAAATTAAGAACTGAAATGTCCAAACCCGTCGACTTATTAACACTAAGAATGAAACCTAATGTAAATTATGAACTTTAGGTAAAATGACAGTTATTAGGCCAGAAGGATTAGACAAAGCTCCTGAATCTAATAAATTTACATATTAAAAAACCACCTTGTTTCAGAATATAAATTGTTTCCTACAATCATTGTGATTCAATTTGTGTTCAATGTACAGTGAGTGGGAATATGAACTCAGCCTCTGCATAATCTTCCACAGGCTCTACGCACCGTGATAGTGATATGTAGTTTCTTAAAACATGATAAATTATGACCAGAAAATTGCTCAATGTTGCCCAATTTGGCATAATAAGAATGATACTGAATAATGACATCAGATTAAAAGTTCATCTTAAAACATAAATGTTTACAAATACCAAGTTTTTAGTAATAATTTTTGTAATTATCATGAGATCTAAAGAAAATTTTAGTCAAAAAGAAAGAAAAGCCCCAGAATTTGTTCTTCCATAGAACAATTTAATTATACAAAGCTCCATGCCTCTAGTAGGGAAATCTTTAAAAGCAAAAGTGACAGTAAAAAATTCAAGATAAAGACAAAAAAGTCACAGAATCAAGAGATGCAGAAATAAACAAAATTCTAATATAACTATTATTGAGAGACTTGCTCTATGGAAAATAGACAAGATTCCAAACAAATCAATTCAACATAGCAGTTTCTAAGCATTTTCAGATTAGCTCCCCAAAGTTAATATCTAATAAAGTTCCATGAAAGAAAAAATACCACTTTTGTGTATTTTCTAAAATAAAACTTAATACAAATATATACTAGATATCCAAACATTCATTCAGAAGTGAAATATCCAGAAATATGCTTCTCTCTATATAAAAAAAAAACTTTTAGTAAAAATTTCAAATACCTAAGACAACTGAGTTTCACCAACAAACCAAACAAATCTGTTAGAATATAAATTGAACTGCTTGATTTCTTAGCTACAGACACATAAGCTGCCCTGCCTGGAAAATGAATGCTCGTTTTTACTACCCAAAAAAAATCAAGTCAAAAAGTAGCAGTTTCTAAACTGCTGTCCTTAAACTAAAGTTAAAAAATAACAATGTAAGTTTAATAGAGATACAGATGGTTACATACTTACAGGTATGTAGACAAACATTCCCTAGCTCCTTCAGTTGAAAGCCCTAAAAATATAATAGCTCAAATAGCAAGGATTATATCCAAAGCCTGGATCTTTATTTCAAGTATCATTTTCCAATTAGAGAAACCAACACTCTTTGGAAGAAGCAGTTGATTCTAGGACTGGGAGAGGAAATCATAAAATGAAACTTCTAGAAAGAGTGCTTAGAAAAGAAACAAATAACCACAAGCTAACATTGATGGTCAGCTGAGACAAAATAACCACAATGAGGTAAATGACTGAAAATATAAATATGGGAGAAGTGACAAAGTTCCCACATAGAAAAATTCCCACTAGTTATTATAGATCATCTGTTCTTAAGGAAATGAAATATGCAATTTCCCACTTTTCAAGTGTTGGCTGAATACAGTGACTTCTAAAACATAACAGTATAGGAAGAGGGGAAGTAACTTCACAGAAAAAAGTAAAGCAATTGTAATAAAGAAAAAATGAAAAACAATGAGTAACGATATACCAGAGACATTTTACAGGGTGAAGTGGCGAATGGGATCAAAAATGTGGTGGGAGAGGTGCACAGGACTATGGTGATAGCACAAGTGTGAATTGGTAGGGGAATGTCCATGGGAAAAAGGCACAAAATGAAGAATATTGTAAAAACAAACTAAAATTGAAAAAAAAAAAACCCCTGATAAACTACTACCTTATTCAAGGGGATTAAGGTTCACTTCATCAATAAGGACTCTTGACATAATATCTAAGTTAAAATTTGCAAATAAATGTTGACAGCTCATGTCCCAGATATGAAGTAATGAAAATGAACTACTTCTGGTCTTTCTCCCCAAAATATATAATGATGTATAATGTATAATGATGACAAAGATAACAAACAGATGAATCTGTGTGAAAGAACATTTTACAAAATACCTAAGCATCACATCTCAAAACTTCAAAGTTATCAAAATTAAAGCATTTGAGAAACTGTTATAGTCAAGAGGAGACATGACAATAATTGTAGAACAACTCCAATGTCAATTTAATGTGGTATCCTAGGTGGGATTCTCCCACAGAAACAAAGTAATTAGGTAAAAGCAAAGGAGAGACTGTACATTAATTGTAACAAATGTAGCACACTAATTTGGATATATGGGATGGGATATATGGAAACTGTATTATCTTTCCAATTATGTTGTGTAAATCTAAAACTACTCTAAAAATCATAGTATTGCTATCTGAAAGGAGGAAATCAATGGATGATGTAGATAACAAAATGGAAAGCTGGTTTTTTTTTTAATTTTTTTTATTTTATTAAAAAGTTTATTTTTACATCATTTTGCACATTTTTTTTCATCTCAATTGTAATCCCCATGGGTTTCCCTC